GTACCCCATACTCCCAGAGTACCCCCCACAGGGTTCCCCGAGGGACATGGTCGAACGCCTTCTCCAAGTCCACAAAGCACATGTAGACTGGTTGGGCAAACTCCCACGCATCCTCCAAGACCCTGCTGAGAGTATAGAGCTGGTCCAGTGTTCCACGGCCAGGACGAAAACCCCATTGCTCCTCCTAAATCCGAGGTTCGACTATCCGACGGACCCTCCTCTCCAGAACCCCTGAATAGACCTTACCAGGGAGGCTTAAGAGCGTAATTCCCCTGTAGTTGGAACACACTCTACGGTCCCCCTTTTTGAACAGGGGGACCACCACCCCGGTCTGCCAATCCAGGGGAACTTCCCCCGATGTCCACGCAATATTGCAGAGTCGAGTAAGCCAACACAACCCTACAACATCCAGAGCCTTAAAGAACTCTGGGCGAATCTCATCCATCCTTGGCCATTCCCCGACACTCCTCGAGAATTTTTATGGATGTCACTGGAGGACACTGCTAATTATTCCATCCTTATCAGAACTCTTACAGTGCCTCAGGGAGCATTTCTCACCGCTCTTGTTGTCACCCCCCCCCCCCGCAGAATGTTCTACGTCACCATGTGCTTGTATGTGCGAGGTGTTTTTTTTTCATTATCAGGGTCTTTCTTCTCAGCCAAGAAGAAAGAGTTTGATAGGAATCTTTTTGCCTCCCATTTCCTACATGTGTTCAGTTTCACTACTTTTTGTCCGTCTAAACAGGTCTCACTTGTAAATGAGTCTCCGAGGCTCAATGTGACTTATCTGTCTTAATAAAAGTTGAATGACTGAATGAAATTATTAACAATGAACATAGATTCTACCCATAATCCCTCTCTGAGGCCATGTGGCCATCAGTCAACCACAGCAGAATGCTACACAAGCTTATATTGCTCAAGGTTTAGGATTTTTTTTAATAACACTTATTTTTCACACAGCAACTGTTTGCTTAAAGTTCTGTTTCTAGTTGGGTCTGAAGAGTGAAGGTGTACTGCCCATCCCACCTCCACTGACAAAAAGCATGGGAATCTCCATTCATTCATTCATTCAACCTTTATTTAGACAGGTAATCCCATTGAGCCTCGAGGACTCATTTACAAGAGAGACCTGATTTAAACAAAGAATGATGACAACAATAATCTGTTATAAAAAGTCATACCAATTTTTTTTTTAACAAATAGAATGGCTAAAAAAAGAAAAGTAACATAAAACAGCTAGATTCTAAGGTGAATGTATAAAACTGAAAACAGGAACATGTCTGCATTGGTCCCTGCCAGGAGTCCAACAGATTCTTAAAGACACTTAGAGAGGTCAAAGGTCGAGAGCTTCAGATCTTTTTGTAAGATATTCCAGGAAACAGGAGCGGAGCAGGAGAAGGTCCTTTTGTCTAGTTCAGTCCTCACTGAGGGAACACTGCAGGTAATGATGTCCTGAGAGCGCACGCTGTAGCTGCACACACACAGAGACATGTAGGAGGAGATGTATGAAGGCAGCAGACCAGGAAGTGATTTAAAGATGAAAATGTACCAGTGGGAGAGTCTGTGTGAAGTTAATGATGTCCAGTTAACCAGTGGATACTGGGTGCAGTGGTGGGTACGATAGTTACAGCCAGTTCTGAATCTTAGTGCACCGTGATAGACAGCATCCAACATCTGCAGCATCCAACATCTGCAGCATCCAACATCTGCAGCATCCAACATCTGCAGGTTCTTGTAGGAGCGTTCATGTAAATAATGTCACCGTGATCAATGGAGGGAAGGAAAGTCACAGATCCAAGGCAACCGCTGACTCAGCAGATTCTGAGCCCGTGGCTCTTCTGTTACTCAGCAGGTTCATCTTTGCTGCATCGTTCCAACATGGCCACTCACAGAAAGCTGCTAGAATCTGATCAGTTTAGTCCTGATTCAATCCATGAGTTTATTGATAACTTTGAAAAGACCAGGATTTACAGAAAAAATGAAAAGTAAAGGCAGACAGTAAATGTTTTTACTGAAAAATGTTGATTAATATTAGAACTGCTTAAATGTTCTTTACTTACAGTTCAAAGTTAACTTACATTTCTTGTTCCAGGATTGTTCACACAACACATTCAGTGATTTTATTAATTGATTCATTTATTTTTCACTTCAGTGAAACTTTCAAGCTTCAGCCATGAGCCGATCACGCTTCAGTGGCCGCTTTCTCAATCCGGTAAAGATCCCAAATCCAACCTTTTGATTGTGATTGACAGCATGTAGATCATGAAACACTTGCTGATCGAATGATGTTTCAGATACCAAGCATCAACCTGCTGCTGGATGATCTGGCTGACTTTAAACCATTTGAACCATTTGAAGGTGAAAGTGATGCCGCTCCCCGCGCACTTCCACCTGGAGTTGGTAAGTTTTGGATGATTTTTAGTCTTTTTGGCTCGTGGCTAGCTTAATGATGTTTACTACCATTTTCTTGTCTCTTTCAGATCCCCTGAATGTGATGGGTATCAACACAAATAAGGAATTAAATGAAAAGAACCATTACACCAGTGATTACGTGACCAACCAGCTGGTGGTCCGACGGGGTCAGCAGTTTGTCATCGACGTCACCTTCAACCGTCCGCTGACGCCTGATGACGACTTCCAGCTGGAGTTCCTGATTGGTGAGTTTGGATCCTGATCTTTGCTCTGATGAACTGGTGTCCTCCAGAAGCCAAGTGCAGGCAGAGGCAGGAGACTCCAGGTAAAATAAATAATAATTTATTTTACAAACAAAAAATGCTGACAGGGCAACAAAACTTAATTTAAGAAGGAGGGAGCAGACATGAATAGAAATGCCAGACCAAGACACCGTGGAAGGGTTTGGTAGTCGGTTAATGCCTGGATACCAAAAACACACAGAATAAATACAGACACTAACGAGACGAGGGGGAAACAAGATTAGGATCAGCTGCACACAGGAGCAGAACATGAGGAATGTAGAAACGCTAGGAGGCTCAGGAAAAACGTCCAGAGAATCGTCTCAACTAAACAAACAAAATGTCCGTTAAACCCTTTATCCAGAGTTGTCTTGACTCTTTGTTGTTTTAACCAGTTTGTTTTTTAACACCAGGCTCTGACCCTATACCCAACAAGGACTCCTTGGTGGTTGTGACCTTTGGAAACCGTCCTGGTGGGTCTTGGGCAGGCCAGATTCTGGGCTCGCAGGGTGCAGCGGTGTCACTCGGCATCACACCCCATGCTGGGGCCATTGTGGGTTTGTACCGCACGTATGTGGCCGTCTCAGTTGGTAACGGCATGCAACGAACCAGTAAGGACCCCAGCACCAACCTGTATGTGCTGTTCAACCCCTGGTGTAAAGGTGACTACTTTGCTACTTTTGTGGCCCTTGGTGGTCAGAAACTTAAAAATTAAAGATTTACATCTTTTTTTTTGTGGTTCAAGTTAAAAAAAAACATGCAAAACATTTTTTAAAGTACTTTTATTCACATTTTAAGGTCATTTGCTGAAGAAAAATCAAAGTTTG